AAGGAGCTTGGAACATAGATAGTTTAGCCCTGTAATTAATAAAGTCATGGTACCACAAGGAGCTTGGAATATAAATAGTTTAGCCCTGTAATTAATAAAGTCATGGTACCACAAGGAGCTTGGAATATAAATAGTTTAGGGGCCCTGTAATTAATAAAGTCATGGTACCACAAGGAGCTTGGAACATAAATAGTTTAGCCCTGTAATTAATAAAGTCGTGGTACCACAAGGAGCTTGGAACATAAATAGTTTAGCCCTGTAATTAATAAAGTCGTGGTACCACAAGGAGCTTGGAACATAAATAGTTTAGCCCTGTAATTAATAAAATCATGGTACCACAAGGAGCTTGGAACATAAATAGTTTAGCCCTGTAATTAATAAAATCATGGTACCACAAGGAGCTTGGAACATAAATAGTTTAGCCCTGTAATTAATAAAATCATGGTACCACAAGGAGTTTGGAACATAAATAGTTTACAAAGTTTTCATCGAACATTCATTATTGTTTCTTTATTTATTTGAATAGCCACAGAAAACGTAAATTCTGCAACTCAATAATTACATTTTACATATCTGACTTTAAACGTGGTTTGTCCCTAGGTGGGTAAGTGGTAAGTTCCCGGACTTGCCATGCTAGAATCCGGGATTCGATTTCCCGCGCTCACAGAGTGCAGATAACCCAAGTTGTAACTCTGCGATAAAAACAGACAAAACAAAAATAAAAGTAATTTTGATATACTAACACTAATACCATCACAACTCATGCTATTTCTACTCATAACATCATAGCCCGTGCTATTTCTACTCATAACATCATAGCCCGTGCTACTTCTACTCATAACATCATAGTCCGTGCTATTTCTACTCATAACATCATAGCCCGTGCTATTTCTACTATAACATCATAGCCCAGTGCTATTTCTACTCATAACATCATAGCCCATGCTATTTCTACTAATAACATCATAGCCCATGCTATTTCTACTCATAACATCATAGCCCATGCTATTTCTACTAATAACATCATAGCCCATGCTATTTCTATTAATAACATCATAACCAGTGCTACTTCTACTCATAACATCATAGCCCGTGCTATTTCTACTCATAAAATCACAGCCCATGCTATTTCTACTAATAACATCATAACCAGTGCTATTTCTACTAATAACATCATAACCAGTGCTATTTCTACTAATAACATCACAGCCCGTGTTATTTCTACTAATAACATCATAGTCCAAGCCATTAAAGATTCCACACTCCATATTACAACTAGAAACTTTAATGTGGGTAATTCATCATAAGAAAAAAAAACGTTCAGAAGATTATTCTTTATCAGTTGTAGGCTAACATTTTCATCTTCTCTGTGGTCGTGCTTCATCTCCTTTAGCTTGTGACTTGGCTGAGAATATATTAGTTGAGTTATGACCGATAGTAGAGTGGTGTAAAAAAGGGTTAGTGAACTATCACGTTTATTATGTGAACCCGATGGTAGGACTACATATACATTGGTCTTTGAAATCCATAAACTTTCATCGCTAACTTTACGTTACTGCGTGCTTCCTGAACATCCTTGTTATTTATTATACTAATTTTCTACTACGTTTTCTTGGTTCTTCTTCTTTGAATTGTTCTTAGTTTTCTTTACTGTTCAGCCACTGGTATAGTATTTAGATTACATTCAATTATCATAATATAGATGGTGTTACTTATTTCAGAATAAGTAATTATTATTATTATTATTACTGAATAACAATTTATATCATAAGTGATCCTTAATATCACCTATTAATGACATTTATCAGCACCTTTGATGTCAGCCGTTAATGGTTTTGACCAGTACTAGTGACTTTTCATGTAACTCATTAATTATACTTACCGTCATCGGTGACTTTTCATGTCACTCATTAAGGTTACCTGCCGTCATCGGTGACTTTTCATGTCACTCATTAATGATACTTGCCGTCATCGGTGACTTTTCATGTCACTCATTAATGATACTTACCGTCATCGGTGACTTTTCATGTCACTCATTAATGATACTTGCCGTCATCGGTGACTTTTCATGTCACTCATTAATGATACTTACCATCATCGATGACTTTTCATGTCACTCATTAATGATACTTGCCGTCATCAGTGACTTTTCATGTCACTCATTAATGATACTTGCCGTCATCAGTGACTTTTCATATAACCTAGACTACCTTCCCTCCGCACAAAAAGCGTAAAGTCCTTGTTACAACACATGTGTTATTACGCAGACCAACGTGGAGAGAGTGCTATGGATTCGATTCTGCGATCGTCAGATTACGAGACTAACGTCCTAACCGCTAGGCTACTTAGACATTTTGGAATTAACACAAAAATGATAAGGTACTCCACCAAAGAATACAATTATTTTTATTGTTGCCAGTAACGAACAAAGCATATTGTTGAATAGATCCATATTGTTGCATAGAACATTTTGTGAAAATCTATTTCAAATGTGCTTTTACAGGTTGATGAAACCCACAGGACGTGTTTTAAAGTAGCCGAAGCTTGTGAAAGATGTGACTTTCAACGAATCTTGATAAGAAATGACAACCAAAAGATGAAAAACAGCTAAATTAATTTAAAAAGAAAAAAAAAGATGGCATTCAAGAAAATCACAAAATCACTGGTGAGATATTATGCTTCTGTCGCAGAAATATATGGCTCTTGTAATCAGTAGAAACCGTCTCCTCCATCACGAGACCTGTATCCTCCACCTCTGTAACCACCACCTCCTCTTTCTCTGGATCCATCTCCTCTGTATCCTCCACCTCTGTAACCACCACCTCCTCTTTCTCTGGATCCATCTCCTCTGTATCCTCCACCTCTGTAACCACCACCTCCTCTTTCTCTGGATCCACCTCTCTGTATCCTCCACCTCTGCAAGAAAAGCCACTATTGCCCACCGTAACTGTCGTATGATGAGCCTCGTCTACCAAGATTTCCACGACCACCTCCTCTTCCTCTGGATCCACCTCTTCCACCACGTCTTCCTCTAGACATTGGAAGAGGAGTTTGGAAAAGTTGGAAAGATTGTTAGTGCTTGGGTAGCACAAAATCCACCTGGTTTTGGTTTTGTTGAGTTTGATGACAGAGAAGATGCTGATGAAGCAATAAAGGCAATGGATGGTCAGCTTATCAATGGCACAAGAATCAGGGTAGAAATGTCAAGAGGAAGACGTGGTGAAAGAATTGGAGGATACAGGTCTCGTAATGGAGGAGACGGTTTCTACTGATTACAAAAGTCATATAGGTCTGAGACAGAAACATAATGTCTCACCAGTCATCTTGTGATTATCTTGAATGCCATCTTTTTTAAAAAATCAAGTTAGCTGTTTGTCATCTTTTGGTTGTCATTTCTTATCAAGATTTGTGAAAACTTATGTAATCTTAAAAAAAATTGTGATGCTAACGAACATCTATCATAGTCAAGAAAATTAAACAATTACCTACATATTCAGACATATCTGGTATTAACCATGTCTTCCATACGTATTCAGACATATCTGGTATTAACCATGTCTTCGATACGTATTCAGACATATCTGGTATTAATCATGTCTTCCATACGTATTCAGACATATCTGGTATTAACCGTATCTTCCATACGTATTCAGACATATCTGGTATTAACCGTATCTTCCAGAATAAGTTTCCTTTTAGTGTATTGTCAGCAAAGTTTCTGCTAAATTTTGAGCAAATTACACGTTTGATATCATTATTTCAAACCATTTCAATTTGTTTTTTGGTATTTGTTCTCCATTATTTATTAGCCTTTACTACCTCATTTGTAATGTTTTAATTAATATTAAAACTGCATTATACTCTGCTCCAAGAAGCCTAAGAACATTTTTTACTAAAACGTACACTGAAACGATATAATTCCCAGTTCGTTTCGGTGGGTGTTTCGCTTAGCTTAATAATTAAAACTCATCTCTATCTCATTTCCAGCATCAAATGTCGTCGTCCAAGACATCGCCCCACGAGTAACAGGAGACAAAGGGAAGTACGTTGTGGGAGACATTGTGGACTTGAATTGTTCCTCTTCGCGCTTTACAAAATCTCTAAGGCTCTCTTGGACTATTAATGGGAAACCGGTAAAGACAGACAGATAGATAGATGTTGTCGTAATTAAAGCAACAGTTATATCATAAAGAAGGATATATATGAAGCAAACAGTTAATAACACAGGCCTACGATGGTTTTATTGTCTTGAAATATTTACATGTTCTACAGAAATTCCTGTACGCTAAATCCGAAAATGATATCCATTTTTCTCCATCACGTACAGATTTTTCACAAAACGCCATAATACAATACATAAAAGGAAAACCACACATAACACGTAGTTTTGAGACCACAAGACGTAGATTTCACCCAAAAAATCAGGATGAATGAGGATGC